TGTAGCACCGGGTTATTGTTCATCTGAAAAACAAAAGATAGTTTTTTCATATATAGAGTTCTCCAAACATATTCTTATTTCAAATACATCATCCAAATCATCTTCTAGATAGAGTTCTAATTCATGTGGACTTCATATGGGCCTTATCTTGGGTTGGACCAACAACACACTCTACATGTAATATCCAATGTATGCTAAATATTTCTACTTAATGTAAAGCACATGTTGTAATCTTATAGTATAATACATCAATGATCATTAGCTATTTAGGGGTAAGTTTTATGCCCTTAATCTTATTAGCAAAAACAATAGAAACAGTGAATCCCATTCCACTCAAGAGATGTATTTTTCCATAAAGGTACAGGTTATCTACCCTTCTGCAGGTAGACTACAAGAGCATGTGGTTGCTCTTTGTACCAAAGCGAATACGTGTAGTACGGTACACGTGCAGATGACTGGCTTATTGTATCGGGGCTGACACCTGGACTTGAGAGAGAGAGAGAGAGAGAGAGAGAGAGGTGTATCATTGTATAATATTTGTATGTCTTCATTAGATGAGAGGAGGCCCCCATATTTTATAGATACTTTAGAGAGAGAGAGAGAGAGGTGCATCATGGTATGTTTTCATTGGATGAGAGGAGGCCCCAACGTTTGGTTCTTCCTCTCTCTCTCTCTCTGTGTCTCATACCTCTCTCTTCTCTCCTACCCCCCCCCCCACCAGCCCCATTTCATTTCCTCTGTTCACGGGATTTGAAAGCAAATAATGAACGTGTAAAGAGTACACAGTGCCTTGCTGTATTGCATGTGAAGCCGTTGTGGCCCTCTCAAGAGAGAGAGAGAGAGAGAGGAGAGAGAGAAACATAAGAGGAGTTTAGCTTTACTTAACTTTTTCCTTCCTCTGCTCTTTTCACTAGGCTTCATCTCACCAACAAAGAGCCCAATGCCCAACTGGCAGTTTTAATTTCATCTGAACCGAGGAAAAACAATGTGGTGTGTATTTGTAAAAGGATGGCACTGCTAAAGGACAAACCAAGCCAAGTCTGGGATTTGGGTGGGATTCTATTCGTTCTCTTCTGCCACTCCCATCTCTCTCTCTCTCTCTCTCTCTAAAACCTCTCTCTCTCACTCTCACTCTCTTTTCAAGCCTCCAACTGAACTCAGCTCACTTCCTCTCTCTCGTTCTCATTTCAAGGACCAATATGAAGCAGCGAATGGATCATGAGACGGAGTTTGAAGAGGAGGAGAAAGCCTCCTCTGATTGCACCAGTGGATGCCAATCTGGGTGGACTATGTACTTTGAAAAATCCTATGAAAGCAAAGCAATCTCAATGCAATATCATCAGCTACAAGACGAGGAGGAGGAGGAGGAAGAAGAAGACCTTTCAATGGTCTCTGATGCCTCATCAGGGCCTCCCCATTTCCGCGATGACGACGACGAGCACTGCTGCTGCTGCTTTCCCTCATCTGCTGCTGTCCCTTCTAACAATGGTGGGAAAAAGAGGAGGATTGACACAAAGCAAGACCCTCATTCTTCTCCCCTTGATGACACTGCTAGCTCCCCTCTCTTCAGCCTCTCAAAGGCAAGCAATTAATCTCTCTCCCTTCTGTGTTTTTCAGTCCCATATCTCACCTGGGTCTCGCTCAACTTTGACTGTTGAAATCTCTGCAGACAAGTTGCAATGCCATCATTAACACCAACAACAAGAACAAAATCTTTGCCGAGGATGTGCTAGAGCTCTCCTGTGGCTTCTCTGCTACTCAGTTCAAGGTACATTTTCTTAGATTCTTCTTCCTCGGGTTCTTTATCTATTTAATGATTGAGAACCCCATGGCTGCATCCAGGGGAAATCTGCGTTGAGGAAACACTTGGGTTATTTCAAATCATGTGCTCCTATCAAGCCGACATCAGTAAGTCAAATTAACTGAGAGAAACGCAGAAAGTTGTTTCTTTTATTTCCAGTACTCTCGTGTTCATTTGGTTCGTCTGCATCTCTATAGGATTCAAGGGAGGAAGGTGAGAAGAAGAAATTATGGTGATCAGCAAGAAAAGAACAGATGGAAGGCATCTGTACAGATCTTCAAGAGATCCATGTATTTTTTTTTTTTTTTTTGGTTGCTAGTTGATTTTAGTCTTTTCTTTTTAACTGTCAATGCAATGGGAAACAACCTGAGCAAAAGAGAACAGAAAATAAACTGTTTCTGCTTTCTTTTCATTTTTCTTCTCTTACTCAATTCTCTAGTGTCATGGGTGGGGGTAACAGAGAGAGAGGCTAGTAGGTTCTGTTCAGTTTTGTGTCCGTACCCATCAAAGTTGCCCCATTGCTCAGCTCTCATCCCTTCTCCCGTCTGCTCATCGATAACATCCTTAACTGTGATCAAACGATAATGCACAATCAAAACGCATATCAAGTTTAAAATTTGTTCAGTATGATCAGTTCAAAGCATACACATGCGCACATGTAAATAAATGTATTAAAAGCAAGAGCTAGCTAAAACAGTTGTGAATTTAAACCAAAGAGGGCTCCAATATGGGGTCAATATCAATACCAGGTTGTCCTGTTAATGCCACATGATCCCCCCTCCAATGATGCGCAAGATATCACGGTGGAGATTTCAACCCCATGGGAGTCAGTGAGGGATCATAAGTGAGTCCTGCAGAGGGTTTAGGCTGGAGTTTTTGTACTGTTGGCTAGTGCCAGAAGGACTTTGGGGCTCAATAGGAGGACAAATGTGGCAACTTCAATCCACCATGCACATGATGGCACTGAAAGGGACCAAAAAGGGAGGATCCTGCTCAGCCTCTTGTTTCCCTCTCTTTTTTAACTACTGTTTTGAGAAACCAA